TATATATATATATTCGGCTATTATTTTGAGATCATCTATACATTATCATTTTTTTCGACTGGCTTTCCCTCTAGCCCGATTTCAGAATGATCTCATAAAACCGGGGAAGTTTATAAATACCCACTTTTGAGCCGCCATTGAAGTTATACACGCATTGCACATTATAAAATATACTCACTCGCATCTGAAGTTCTTCTGTCTCTTCAATGCAATTAAAATTGTTCTATCTTTCTAATGCAACTTCAAAAAACCGGATCTTAGGTAATTCTATATCTTCAATGACAATTGACGTTCTTCTATCTTTCCAATGCAACTTCAAAAATCGGATCTTAAGTAATTCTATCTCTTCAATGCAACTTCAGAATCGGATCTGAAGTACTTATATCTTTCTAATGCAACTTTAGAAAATTGGATTTTAAGTACTTCTATCTCTTCAATGAACTTTAAAAAACCGGATCTTAAGTTCTTTTATCTTTCCAATGCAACTTTAGAAAAAACGAATCTTATGTAGTTCTATTTCTTAAATGTAACTTCAGAATTCGGATCTTAAGTTCTGAATAATAGTGGCAAAATGGTTAAAAGAAAACAGTTAACCATCCATATTATCCACTAAAAAATGGGTGGGATAATGATTTTTTTTTAAACGGGTCATATATAGATAAGAACCATATTATCCATTTAGAAAATAAATAACTAATAGGTTTAACTTTTACATTTGTAAAGCCTCAAATTGGGGTTCTTCAAGTTTGGGAGACTAGAAATTATCTCAAAAGTGATTTCAAGAAGTCATTGATATTATGGTTACCCATATTATTCGCCGGTTAACTCTTTTTTTATCCGAATTAAATATTAGTCGGTCGAATAAGTTAATATTAGTCGGTCGAATAAGTTATTCGTTTTTTCATTACCCGCTTTCGGCACATCCCATATCCGATCCGACCCGCCTGTTTGCCACCCCTAGTTCTGAAATATAAACTTATTCTTCGAATTTTAGCAACTCCACATATAATTCATCGTCCAAATCTACTCCAAATGAGCTAAAATTCAAACATAACTTTCAAAAATTATAAAGAACAAATCGTAATCACCAAATTGTAAAATAACAATAAATATAACGAACCCATTTTGTAACTAAGAAGAAGAAGAAATTTAAGCACAACCTACAACGGTATTTTGCAGCTAAGAAGAAATCAAACTGCTTCTAGATACATGCGACATGGATACATAGTAGAAAAAAGTAGCAGCAAAGCTCCTAAATACATGGGACATAAATACATAAAAGAAGAACGCAACAATGAAAAGAAGAGAAAAGCGTATCTAAAATTACCCAAAAATTGGATATCGGTTAAACTTTTTTTTTTTTATAAATAAGTACAAATAAAATGGGGTGAACAAATGGAGTGCATGTTATTTTATTCTAAAATCATACTCCCTTCATTCCAGCTTGTGACCCTATTGCGTTTTCAATCTATTTCTAAAAAACGATATTTCTTTTTTTAAAAGATAATAATTTAACTTTAAATTTTTTATTATATCTTTAACGATAAGCTTTATAGCCATGTTAATATTATATTAGGTCGAAAATCGCACGTTTTGAATTTTTTTATCGTCACACAAATATTACTATGTTAAACTTTTGTTTTTGTTTCTTAAACTCAATTCCTAGTCTAGGATCACAAACAATAAAAGAAATGAAGTATAACATACTTTCCACTTGCAACGATATCCGCGTAAAGCCAACTGCAAATATCATATCGCTTTTGTTCATGAACTTTTATAGAGCATATTTTATAACATTACATTTTCTTTTTGCTGATTGACATTAAGTTATATGCATTGTTAATTTTACTCTATTAGATCATTCAAATGATATCTACGTAGTAATCGATTTCTTGCAATGTGATATAAATGCACAACCTTAAACTTGAATGAAGAACGGAAAAGGGCCTAAACTACCCCTATTGTTTGATAAATGGTTTACTTATAGCCTCCGTCCATCTATCAGTCCCAAAATACATATTCCGTCCATCTAGTAGCCCACAAGTATACATTACGTTAACTTTATTAATTAAAATACCCCTACGTTTAACGGCAGACCAGCTGGACCTTCCAATTAATGCATTAGCGTCTTTTTACTGGGCCACGTGACACTCTTATCCAAAAACAAATCTGAGTAAAACTAAAAAAGCTAGCATCATAAGGAGGACCCCCCTTTCGAGGTACAAAAAGAGTACGGTACATAGGAGGTTGGTCTTTCTCAACGTGGTGTATAGCACGAAAAACCTTTCGATACAAGATAGGGCCGTTCACATGAAAGAAAAAAATGAATCCTTTCTTATCTTCTTTCCCGAGAGGGAAAGAGAAAGAGGGTCTTATGGAGGGAGGGGGGAGGGGAAAGGCTTGGGCCTACCTATCCCGATAGGACCCCATAAAAGAACGGGAGCTGTTGAGAGGTTCCATATTGCCGAGACGAAGGACAGCACTTCTGTACGTGATCGTAGTATGTCACGTCGTCTCGTCCCCGCTGCATCGAAGAGTACCTATGCACTATGTTCCGGTTCACTGATAAGGAAGATAGCGTTGGGGTGGGGGTCTACGATGTGATACTAAAGTATGACCGGGGGAGATACATGCTAACTATGGGTAGGAAGCAGGAACCATTATGTAAAAAATTTCGGGGGGTTACAGATCTCTTATACTACCATCGATCGACAGAGCGGAACGACCAGAAAAAGAAGTTAAGTTAGAAAGCCGTATGATAGGTGGTAACTATCTTGTACGGTTCGGGGGGTAATCGGCGTACTCCGATCAGTGGGGGGGAATCTTTGGCTCTATCGAACATACAGGGAATTGGAGGTAGCATTCTACCGATGTCAAGTCATGGACTGGTTTCTTCAGCCCTTTTTCTATGTGTTGGTGTTCTATATGACCGACATAAGACTCGACTTGTTAGATATTACGGAGGTTCAGTGAGCACCATGCCGAATCTCTCTACCATTTTCTTCTCTTCCACTTTGGCCAATATGAGTTCACCTGGTACTAGCAGCTTTATCGGGGAATTTCTCATCTTAGTAGGAGCTTTCCAAAGAAATAGCTTAGTAGCCACATTAGCAGCGCTTGGGATGATTTTAGGCGCGGCCTATTCCCTTTGGCTATATAATCGTGCGGTTTCTGGGAATTTAAAACCCGATTTCCTCCATAAATTCTCCGATCCAAATGGCAGAGAAGTTTCCATATTTATACCTTTTCTTGTTGGAGGGGCGACCGTACGTTAAACTACCAAAGAAACTAGGGTACACCAATGTGATCATGACATTGTAGGTGCTTGCGATGGGACGGATGCGACATCCCTCAGTTGGTTTGGGTGGCATAGCCCGTTGCATAAGTCCCCCCCACCCTTTTTATGCATTTCTTTAGTCTTTAGGGAGCCAAAACTTGACTTTACTAAACTAATAAATAAGGCTCGCGCTAGGCGCTTACCTTTTTTGGCTGTAGGGCTGGGGTGGCTTGCTGGGTGAGACTGATAGAAAGAAAGGACGGGGGGCAACCATGCATGGTACTTCTCGACCCTGTCTCCGAGGGACAGTTGAACTAGCGACTCATGAATGCTGCCGGGTTGGACGAGCCAACAACTCGAAGGCGTTCGGTCTATTTTTTGAGCAAGAATCACAGCCTTACCTTATCTTCACCATGATACGGAGGTCCAAGTTCTTATGGCAGAGCACGAGGAGATTTATCATCAATATGATTATTGGAATGGAAACCAGAAGCACGACTGGGGTCCTCGTGGTCCAAGATAATCAAATCATCAATAACAGTAATGTAAGCATGAGACTTTTTGGTAGTACCGGTGAACCAGATGGCCGCGGCGATGGAATCTGGGACGGAGGACTTGTAGTATCTCTCTAGATCTGGCAAAAGAGAAAGACCCCTAACATAATTCGAATGGAGGCTGACCGCTGAGCCCACTCTGGCCTCGCGGGGTGGGCCCCTGTGGTTGC